TGCAGATGTTTCAGACTTCCACCTGTTTAGTAACCTTACTATTAAATTCCAAGCACAATTAGAAGTTGGAGCTGACCCTCCAGTGGGTTTTCAGAGGCTATAAGTAGCACAGGAGGAGATTGTCCACCCATTGTCCATGATTTCTTAGGTTGCTGTGCTGATGAGAGCCTGCAAGAGGGGAGAAGAAAAGGACCCCGACAAAATGGATGAGTATTTACAATTTGGGGCATCACTTCAGCTCTCTGTATCAGACTGTGGCTTGAGGAAGTGCAGCCTAAGAGATTGACTTCTTGAAATTTTTTGTTTGTTTGTTTAAGCAGGGAGAAAGGAATAGATTTGAAAAGATGTAGAGTCTGACAAACTACCTATTTAGTTGTGTCTTGAGTATCTAAAACTTACTGCCACTAAGACAGAGAATGTGGTCATGTCAAGCTCGAAAAAAAGGCCAGTGCAACCTGTCTTAAGTCTCACGTTTATCTTCTCTATTTTGGAAGGATGGGCTGATTGAGGAGATGCTCACAAGGTAGAGAAACCAGAATTGTATGATTACAGTCTCTACCAGGCCGACTGGAGAAGTACAGACTGTAGTCACAGAAGAGGGATTGATTTTTTTATAGTATCTTTTGTAATAGCTTCACACCCTACTTGTTGCTTTAAGGTGGATCCTATGTAAAGAATAATTATTTCTTATTTAGTTTAATCCACACTGGCACCAATGCCTCATAGTAGGTTTAATAATAATCAACTCAATTATTTCTCAAGTTTGCAGATATAAAGGGCAATGGACATAATGAAAAATGTTTCTGCAGTTAAACTTGTGATATTAGCTGCTCAAGGATGGACAGAAAATATGGGAAATACGTAGTGAATATAGAACCTTCTGGAAACCAGTCAGTGAGTATTGTTGGGATCAATGTAATATTTTACTGATAGATTCTTCTAGTGTTTAGATCTTAAAGTTCTAATATTTTTTATTACTGTCTAACTCTTCCCCAAAGGAATTTTTTATATGGTTTTTATACCCCCATTTGTTTCCATTTTCTGAGTATTAGTAGAAAGAAAATTTATTTCTGTAAAAAATAAAATTACATGGAAGTAAGAATTTTAACAATTTTATTATTCTTTATTATAATTAGGAAACTTTTAAATTCATATCAATACTATATAATTGAAACATTAACTTTAAATTTTCATCAACTTCACACTAGCAATGTGGGGGAGTAGCATAATTTAATGTCTTCAAAGAATATGCTGTAGATTATAATTCAAATATAAACCATCAATGCTGGTTTTAGTTGCATTAACACATATATTTTTTAAAATGTGATATAGAGATTTTACCTAGATTATTTAGGGCTAATTTCTATATCTTTGTAAATTGAAAGTTAATCTTATAAGTAAATGCTTAGCCTAGGAAGCAAATTATGCTTCAAATTATGCTAGCAAATGATTTTGTTTGACTTCCTCGTAATTATACTTATGCATTGTTTTGCCTGAGAAATATTATTCTGAGATGAAATATTATAGTCCATTTGGATCCAATATTCTATTGCTTAAGTTTTTTGAAGAAACTATTGATATTTAAGTTTTATGATTTAATTATAAACCTATATAAGTTGTCTGATTGAATTTTATGTAGTTTCTGTTTTTACTAGAGCTTTTGACATTAGAAATAGATACAGAAATGTGCTGGTCAAATCTTTGTTACTCTGAATGGAGAGTTATATTCTTTGAGGTAGTTCTTTCATAGACTGCTTAGTTCTGTTCAATTAAGCTCTGGTTAATAATGCTCAAACCACAGAATTAATTCTTAAATGAAGCATTTAGTGGGACAGATGGACACTGGCCATAGACTTAGACAGATGTTATAATGTGAATAACATAGTTTTATTCTGAAAATATACTTTATATTTAAAAAATAGTTTTATATTTGCAGTCTTTATCTAGTACAGAAGGTGTGCGTAAACACACATACATAATTGTCCATATCTATTTCAGTTAAACGTATTTCATTCCATGTCTCCAACTCTAATCCATTGTCACATTGTTATTCTAGCTTTATTTCCTTGCTTATTGGTAAACTCCCACCCCAACAGTGAGGAACTTGGCTTACACCTATAATTTACCATCCATTTACTTAATTGTTGTACGGATTCTAGTTAATAAAGCATTGCCTACTCTAATGATATAAAGTAATTCTGGTATGTTATCCTTTAGAAACATAATTGTTTTGCATGCATATTTAAATATATTATTTAAAATTCTTTTTTCCCCCAATATAGTGGGAGGTGGAGGATAAATATTGTTTTCTGTATAGAAATTCTCCTCCTGCAGGTCATTGTGAAGATCAGCTTTTCTTTACTGAGTAGTAGGAAGGAGCTTGGTTATATATTGGGAAACTATCCTGGTGGATCTGTTTCTGGATTCTAAGTTGTTCTATTGATCGTTCTCCATCATGTTCATCATTACATGATCTTGATTAGTCTTATAGTAAATCTTGAAATTTGTTGGTGTAAATCACTTAACATTGCACTTCTTCTGTCTTGATTTGCCCTTCAAGGTAATTTGTATTTACATACAAATTTTAGAAACGTTTTAGTTTCTATAAAACTACCTTTGGAAGTTTGCTTGGGAATGCATTGAATCTGCAAATCATTTTGGGGGAGTTAGCATTTTAACAAAAAATCTTTCATCTCACAACCTTGAGTTTTCAATGTAGAAATCATATACATTTTCTTTATGTCTACTTCTGGAACTTTAAAAAAAAGTTTCATTAGGACTTGTTTAATTAATGTTTGCCTCATCTTGATTACAGATTTTTTTTATTAATGATTTTAAAATGCATACTTCTAGAACTTTTATGCTTCATTAAATGACATATGAAGTTAATTTCCAAATGTTTAAGCTCTTACCTTACTGAATTGACTTATTCATGTTAATACTGTGTTTATAAATTCTTTTGGATTTTGTATGTATATCATGTATGTATATAATCACGGTAACATTCCTTTTCCAAATTATAATTTTTTTTTACTTTGTTTTTTTTAACTTAGTGTACTGCATAGCACACTAGAGTAATGGTGAATGAATGTAATTAAAAGGAATATCTGATCTTGTTCTCAAATGTATTAAATATTTTACAATTATAATGCTAACTTTATGGGTTTTGAGGTTATATTAGATTACAGATTATTCCTTTCTATTTCTAATTCGTTCAGAAATTTTATCACAAATAGTTGCTGACTTTTTCAACAGCACTTATGCCTCTTTGAATATCTCAGTGAGGGGGTTGTTTTCATCACTCTTAATGCGGTGAATTATAAATCATTGTCTTAAATGTTATACTACTGGCATAGACTTCAGTTAGTCATAAATTATTAAATATGTGTGTGTATATATTGGAATTTAATTTTCTTTATATTATTTTTTAAAAATTGGTTTGCTGCAAAGTTTATATACATTGTGCTTCATACTATTTTTCATTCACATGATGTTTCATACAGTCATTCTCATACATTATGTTTTTTTAGAATCAATCATCATTGGACCGTGCCCATCATTACCCTGTCTTTTCATTTGGAACCTTCCCATTTGCTTTCCCTCCACCCAAACTATGTCACTCAGTGATTTCACCTCTACCTATCCTCACCCCTTTACTCTCCCCTCCCTACCCTGTACATGTTTTACTAGTCATCCTTCTATTTTTACAATAATGATCTTATGCAGTATTTGTCCTTATGAAACTGAGTCAGTTCACTCAGCATAATGCTCTCCAGCTTCTTCCAAGTGACATAGTATTTTTCCAAATCATTGTTCCTGAGTGCTGCATAGTATTCCGTTGTGTGAATGCACCACAATTTCTCAATCCACTTGGTTGTGGTTGGACATTTGGGCTGTTTCCATGTTTTTGCGATGATGAATAGTACCGCTATGCACATTGGTGTACAAATCTCTGTTTGTGTCTCAGTTCTAATTTCCTTTATGATTACATTATTTTGAAATTTTGTACTTAAGTTTTGAGAAAAATTAACTATTATAAGTTTCAAGACCACTCTCCAGCCTTCCATACCAGGCAGCTTAAAAATCTGGCAAATGTCCCAATGAGTGACACTTCTTTTATTTAGGACAAGTGCCTTCCCTCTAGTAGGACTTTTTTCTCTTAATCCTGATATTAGTGCCAAGCACTTTATTCTGCCTTCCCTTGCCAGATGTCCAGCCACCTGGACTTTTCCAGAACATTATGAAAATTCCATAGAAAGAACTAACCTTATAAGTTAACCTTTTAAGCTATCACACCAACCTCTCATGTCCCCTAGAATTTTACTGGCTTCTCTTTCTTTTCTGTTCAATCTCCATTCGTATTTGGACTGGGAACACTCACCGGGAAGGAAATGACCTGTGGTTGTGAACTTACTTTGGAAGGACTCTTCCATCTTTGCACTTTTTAGTATCTAATCTTCATTTCTGTACAGCTTTCCTAGGCTCAGTTTATTTGTAGTTTTATTTATGTTTTTGTTTATTTATTTTTGCAATGAGAGAAGTATGCTGTTGCAATTTCTTACATCTAAAAGTGCATGTCTTCTCTTCACTTTCTTTTACCATTTTAAGTCCTGTATTTCTCCTTTAGATTATAATCTCAAAGCATTTCTCTTCTAAGCCTTAAGATCTCCTGGGCTTTCACTTTGGGACTTTTAAAATGTTAGCTTCCAATACTAGCTGCACCTTAATTACAATTAATAAATTTCTTAAATATGATTAAACAATATTTAGATCTGAACTTTGAAATGAAACTAACAATGACCCAAGTAAATACCCTCATTTTGAGAAGAAAAGTAAAGAAAACCATTTATTTATTCATCCAGTTAGGTATTGGATGATTTTATTTAATCAACCAGCTTTATGATGTATTACCGTCTGGCTTCTATTTGTTAGAAGAGTTATTACTTTAGACACCAAAGACAACAGCTTTCTGATTTCCCCCTATTCTTTTCTGTTTGCAGTCATCCTTGAATCCAAGAAATGGTGAAACTCACAGTTCAGAGTGTCAGTTTTCAAGGCCAATTGATGTAACTGGGAATGCTGATAACGATTTAACAGATGTTTGCACGGGCTCAGAAACCCAAGGACATTCAGAGTTTCCAAACAGAGAATTCCGACGCTGCCGGGTAATGTTTGGCTCAACGCTGTTTCTGTTTCTGTAGGTGATGCTGGAAACCACATGGAAATACTCATCAGCCAATTATTTATTGGAAAAACAGCTAATAATTTAATTTTTCTTCTTTTTCTGATAATGTACAATCTTGTTTGAAGACAGAAAATCATAGAGAAAAGATGGCAGAAAGGTGGAATAATTTTGAACTTGCACATTTAGGGAAAAGCAATTTTGATAAAGTGACAAAACTAGAAACAGAGTTTTGGAAATAGGTGAGAGAATCAAAGAAAACAAAGCACCATTTTTGGCCCTCCTTGGCAGTCAGTTAAGGATGCCAAGAGAGTATGTACATTGAGAGTGAATGAGATAGTTTGTAAATCAGGGTGAAGAGGAAGACCAAGTCACGTGTTAATTCCTTTTAGGCAGAGCCCTACTTTGTGAATGGTTTTCCTTCTACTCCTGTCCTTTGTCTCTGAACTTCCAAATGGGCGTTATGAGCTCTCCTACCTCTGATCTTGTCTGGTTTCAATTTTTAGTTAGAAAGCTCTTTGCATCCTATGTTTCCTACTTTGGTTTTGTGCTCGAAAGAAATTGCATAGCTTTACTTCTTGCTAGTGTATTTTCTTCACCTCAAGATCTGCTAACATGTTTCCTTCTCCATAAAGTTTGTTCTCACTTGCTGCTATGTGCTGTCAATTCACCTGCAACTCATAGCAACCTCATGTACCTTACAGCTCTGATGCCTGCTCTATCTTGAGCCAATTTCATTGTCTCCAACAAACTTATCACCATTACCCCAGTTACTGTGAAAATCCATCTCAAGCAGAGTTTTCCTCTCTTGAGATGTCCCTTTATCTTTCCAAGTGTGATGTCCCTTTCTAAGGACTGATCCCTCCTGGCAACAAGCCTAAAGTATGTGAGACAGAGCTTAAAAATCCTTGCCACTTAGGGTTAGATTTAGTGTTAGGGGGTCAGCTTGCTCAGGGTCTTTGATATTTTGGTTCAGTCCTTCTGATTCAAAAATGCATTTCTCCTCTGATAAATCTCACTGTAGAGGATAAGTTTGGAGAAGCTTATTTAACTCATTAACAAGATAAGAAGAAGACATAAAAAGGCGCTCTGATGACAGTTTTGACTTTACAAGGTAGCAAAGGTAATGTTACAGAAGAATGGGTAATTTTGATAGATTGAAATTATACTGAGAAATGTATTATATTAAAAATGAAAAAAGTACTCATAAAGCTGAAATGAAAATAAATTTATTCAACACTTGAAAAATGGTTGAAATATTGATAAAAAAGTTCACCTTATTTTATTCAGACACATAAGTCTCTGAGAAGGAAAAAAGGGAGGAAAATGAGGGAAGGAATTGGAGTTTTAGATGACCGACATACTGAATCACTGACAAGTAATTGCCATACCAAAAGGGAGGTCCTAGGACCAATTTTTCCTAAATTAAAATTCCATTTTCATTGAATAATATCTATGAATAACAACTATTGGCACCAATAGATATTATTCAAGGAGTCCATAAGTAAAGCCAATAGTAAAACACTTTACTTCTGAGAAATAGTTGACAATTCAAACTCACCCAGGGACACCTAGGAAGAAAAGCCTCCTGGCAATTTGCTTCTAAAAGATCATAGCTTTGAAAACCCAGTAGGTAGTTCTGTTCTGCATACAAAGGGTCATCATTAGTTGGAAACAACACAATGGAACTATTTTTGTCATTGTTTCTGTTTACAATTACTCAGAGGCTTTTAAGACACTTCTAAATCTTCTAATGCAGTAAGCTATACATAATATCCAACCCATCAAGAGCCCTTCTTTTCTTTTAAGCATTTGGATTTATACTTAAATAATTTATTAACTCTTTTTCAGATGTTGAGAAGTTTCATAAGTGATTGGTCTGTGTGGAAAGTATTCTTGGCTTCCCTCTTGGCCTGTGCGATAACAACAGCAATTGGAGTACTCATAGTGTCCCTGGTGTATAGTGGGAAAAATTCCAATCCCTCCATTATTATCCAGCTTCCTGGATATGGGGCAACTTCATCTACAAGTGGAACAACTGTGTCTACCTCTTCTGAATCTACTTTTATCTCAACTACAACAGAATCTACCATAACGTTTTCTTCAAATGAACCAACACCTACAACTACCACTACTTCTTCAGCTGGTACTACAACCACAGCAGCAGCCACTACTACTGTGACTGAGCCTACAACCACAACCACAGTCGCCACTAATGCAAATGAAACAACTCCAGCAGGTACAGCTACTACAAGTGAAACTACAATTGCAGCAGATACCACTACTCAACCTGAATCTATAGCCTCAACAACAGCCACAACCACAGTAAGTGAAACTACAATCACAACAGCTGCCATGAATATAACTGAGACTACAAACACATCACCTACCACTAATGCAGGTGAAACTTCAACCACAGCAGTCACAATGACAACTGAAAGTACAACCACAGCACCTGTCACTACTAAAACGGAATCTACAACCACTGCAGGAAACATTACTACAACTGAAGTCATTACTACAGCAGCCCCTAACACTAAAATTCAATCTACAACCACTACAGGAACCATCACTACAACTGAAGTCACTACTACAACAGTCCCCAACACTACAACTGAATCTACCACCTCAGCAGCCCCCACAATTACAACTGAATCTACAAGCACTGAAGCAATTACCACTACAATTGGATCTACAACCACAGCAAGTCCTGCTACGACTACAAGTGAATCTACAAGCACTGAAGCAGCTAGCTCCACTACAACTGAACCAACAATTACTGTAGTGAACACATCAACCACTGAATCTACTACTACAGCTGAATCCACAACTACAACTGAAACCACTACCATAGAAGCACTCCCCACTATAACTGAGCCTACCATCATAGCAACCACTACTACTGTGACAACAGAACCCACAACTACAGCAGTACTCACCTCTACTACAGCAGAACCCACAACAACTCTACCACTCACTAGTAGATCTGAATCCACAACTAGTGAAACCACCACCACATCATCCACTGATATGACTACTACTACAGCCCCCCAAACTACATCTGAACCCACTACTACAACAGTACTCACTAGTATTACAACTGAACCTACCACTCTAGCAACCATTACCACTGGAACAACTGAACCTACAATCACAGCAGAAACCACCATTATTACAAATGAACCTACAATAACTATAGCACTCACTACTACAGCTGAATTTACAACTAGTAAAAAAAGTATCCCATCAACAACTGAATCTACTACTACAGCAGCCTCCACGACTACAGCTGAAACCACTACCACAGAAGGGACCACTGCTACTACAACTGAGCCTACCAACACAGCAACTACAGCAGAATCTACTACTTCTATAACTGAACCCACAAGAACTGTAAGCACCACTACTACAGGTGAATCTACAACTAGTAAAACCACCACTATATCCACTATTGAACCTACTACTACAACAGCCTCCACAACTACAATTGAATCCGTGGCCACAACCGTACCCACCACTACTAGAAGTGAATCTACCACCACAGCAACCACCACTACTGTGAAAACTGAACCCATAACTATTACAGCTGATCTCACCACTACTACAACTGAACCCACAACAACAAAGACTCTACCACTTACAACTACATCTGAATCTTCAACTAGGGAAACAATGACCGCACTGACCACTGAATCTACTACTTCTGCAGCCTCTACAACTATAACTGTACCTACTACCACAATAGCACCTATCACTACTACAATTCAACCTATCACCACAGCAATCACTTCTGCTTTAACAATGGAATCCACAACCACCATAGCACCTACCACTATTACAACCAAACCCACAACAACTGCAACCACCACTACTACAGCTGAATCAACAGCTAGTGAAACCACCACACCAACCATTGAATCGACTACTACTTTAGCCCCTATAACTACATCTGAACCCACTACTACATCAGTACAGTCTACTGTTACAACTGAACCTACCATCACAGTGACCACTGAGACTGTAACAACAGAACCCATAACCACATCACAACCCACCACTCCTACAACTGAACTTACAGCTATACCATTCACTACCACAGCTGATTCTACAACTAGTGAAACAACTGTCATATCAACAACTGAATCTACTACTACTTCAATACCCACAACTACAAATAAACCCACTACCATAGAAGTGACCACTACTACTACTAAAAATGAACCTGCTACCACAGCAACCACCAGCATTGTAACTATTGAACCTACAACCACAACAGAATCTTCTTCTACTACAACTAAACCCACAACGACCATAACCACCACAACTATGGCTGAATCTACAACTGGTGAAACAGCAACTAGTACCTCAAACACTGAATCTACTACAATGGCAGCTTCTGTAACTACAGCTGAATCTACTACCACCTCACCACCTACTACTAGTAGAGCTGAATCTACCATCATATCAACCACCACCACTAAGACTACTGAATCCACAACTACAGCACAACAAACAACCTCTACAACTGAACCCACAACAACTGTAACCACCACTATGATAACTGGATCTACAACTAGTCAAACAACAACCACTAAACCTACCACTGAATCAATCAGTACAATGGCCTCGATAACTACAGCAGAACAAACTACCATAAGAGCATCCACCACTACTACAACTGAACCTACCACCAAAGCAACCACAATTACTATGATAACTGAATCTACAACTACAGCAGAACCTATCACAGGTACACCTGAACTCACAACAACTCTACCACTCACTACTACATCTGAATCTTCAACTAGTAAAACAATGACTACATTGAACACTGCATCTACTACTTCTGTAGCCTCCACAACTACTACTGAACCTACTACCACAACAGCACCTGCCACAACTACTATTCAGCCTACCACCACAGCACCTACCACTACTACAATTGAACCCACAACAACTGTAACCACCAGTACTACAACTGCATCAACAAATAGTGAACCCACTACATT